ATGAATGATATCACTCTTTCAGGCACAGCAGACTTGCCAGCAGTGTAATGTGCAGTTTGGGGAGTATTACTGTGACATTTGCCACTTGTTCGACAAGGATAAGAAGCAGTATCACTGTCTGCCCTGTGGAATATGCAGGTGAGCATTAAATAGTTAATTTATCCTAAATACTTATCACACAGCTTTTTATGAATCTTTTTATGAGCATAGCCTTAGTAGAAAATACTACTAATTATATGGATATTTCAGAAATAAAAGTAAAATTTTCTCAAGGGCAGTGCCATCTTAAAGGAGCAGTGTGTAGGATTTAGTGGCATCTAGTGGTGAGGACTGCAGATCGTAACTAGCTGAAACTTCTCCTATGTGCCAAGGGTGAACTCCCGGTTAGAAGTCCTTCAGTGTTCATTGTCCAGGAGCCAAATTATCAGCAGAGGTCTCCTCCTCTCCCAAAGAAACGGACCTGGTGATTTAAATTGGAAAAAAAACAGACTAAAGCAGTTTCATGTTGTAAATCGTGTTGTTCCGACGCTGCGGAGGGGCTGCAAACACAAAAATGCAAAATCGTGAATGGCCCTGTGTGGAGCCAGTGTCTGGTATGTCCTTCCTGAGCTACTATAGAAACATGGTGGTGCAACATGGCAATCTCCATAAATGAGGACCTGCTCCCTTTGTAGATATAAACATCCCATTGTGAGGTAACAGAAACACGACAGCTCTTATTTTCAAGTGATTGTACACTAAAGAAAATATACTTATTATATTATATTCAATTTCTGCCAATATATCCCCCTAAATCCTACACACTGGAACTTTAAAGTTGCATGCAAGATTTGTCATTTTTTTGCTACAGTAATTCAAGTCAACTATCCAAGAAAAAAATAAGTGTTGTGATGTTTGTTTTATTGTCCTGATATTTGATTTCAGTGTGTCTAAATTGCACAACACAACAATGAATAATTTATTGAGTTTTCTGGGTTTCATGTTGACAATTTTTTAGTCATGTTACACATTATTCATATATGAGCTGATTGTCATCTGTGTTCTCACCGCCACAGGATTGGACCCAAGACGAAGTATTTTCATTGTGAGAAGTGCAATCTGTGTTTAGCCCAGGATCTGCGTGGAAACCACAAGGTGACTATCAACCTGTTTCATACCCACAAGCATCATATTTATGCCGTTTGATATGCAAGTGAGTGTCCTCACAGCCGTCATTTACTATCATCTTTTATGTTTCAGTGTGTTGAAAATGTATCAAGGCAGAACTGCCCTGTGTGTATGGAGGTAATTAAACATTTAATATATCAGGGAAGAGTTTGGTGAGGGCTGTTGGCTTTTTATGCAATCCATTACTGTCTCTGCAATTTGACATGACTTTATTCTGTTTGTACAGGATATTCACACATCCAGAATTGGAGCTCATGTTCTTCCATGCGGCCATCTTTTACACAAGTATGATATATTATTCTCTAATTATGAATACAAAGATGAAGAGAAATGAATAT